TCAATCCTAGATCCAAAGCTCACCTTCGAACAATGGAAACCCCACATAGCTTCTTGCAAAAATCAACCCCAGTATATACTGATCCTGAAAAGGAACAGCAACATGTTTCAAAGATGGGCAAAAGATTATTTTATACAAGCACCAGAATTTAAATTCCAGTTATTCAAAGCAGTCCACACACAAGCACACACACACACACAGAGGCACATGAAAAGGGAGAGAAAAACTGACTGCTTGAAAAAGCACTACCAATAATCTAAAACCCATGACATTTACAAAGAAACATGCATAAATCAGTGAACATTTAAATAAATAGTTTCCTCCAGTTTCCATTTGGATACTCCCTAAATCAGTCATTGTGAAAAAAATGGCTGAATTTCAAAAGAGCTCAAACCTCACTTTTCTTTCTCCCATACATACCCGTTGGTGTAACTACTTGTTTTTCAGTGAATGGCAGATGTCCAAGGCCATGCTCCACAACCTAATTCAAAATCAAAACTTTTAAGGACCACAGGCCTTTATCCTTGGCCAAAGGAAGAGATTATTATTATTATTATTATTTTTGATTGGCAAAGGAAGAGATTATTAACTAGAGTTATGAAGCAGAACATACCAGACGAATAAGTCGATCAGAATAGAAGACAAAGTCATGCTTTGAGATCTCCCGATCTCGGATCAGAGTATGCATCCCTCTTATCTGAACCGCAAGTCTCATAAATCAGATATAAAATTGTAATAGAGAACTTAAAAGAAACAGAGTTGTTGCATCATTTGTTTAATGTCAAAAACAATCTTCTTGTTGGACCTCAACCACACCATATATACTGTCTTCTGCTTTTTTATTTCAAACAATAAAACAGAAATTCAGGGTATGATGACATCCCAATCTCAATAGCTGGCTTCTGTTTCATTTTTCTCTAACCATTAAGCTCTAAACCTACTTAATTAAGCCTAAAGCCACAATCAGGTATTCTGGTTCAACAATCATTTATCTAAATATTTGGGCAGTAAGGTCCATCAAAGTCATGGACAGCAATTAATGTTAGGGAAAAAATTCAGCTAGAAAACACATACACTCATACATCAAAAGAATGAAAAATGAAACAGATGAATACAGGTCAATAACAATACCATAGTGGCATCATTAACCTGAGATATACCTGAAATGTTGACTGAATCACAGTGACATTGGGATATATTTTGCAGAGGTCATGCTGACCAAGCTTTGTGCGGATATGTTGAACAATCAAATCAATGGCAACATGATTATCACCTCCCCGGGGAATGATCACATCAGCATACTTCTTGGATGGCAGAACAAAATCATCAAATGCAGGTTTGACAAACTTTGCATACTGCATAACCCAATTTATCAGAAGTTTAAAAATAAGAAATCCAAGCAGGGAGTCAGGGACATAACTAAAATTTTATGGAAACTAGAATAATACAGAAGTCACAGATTTTCCAATTCCCCAATACATGAAACTGTTATTATTTCTACAATACTTGGTTATTACAGTGGGATTTTCCTCAGAGTTTCACCCCAGATCACAAAACTTCCATAAACTCCCAGCCCTAGTTCTGACAAGCCCATCACAATGAACATAAGAATGCCACAAACCTATTTGATCTTCACCTCAAACTTATTCTTGAGTAGGGCAAATGCCACAAATCACAAAATACATTCAATTACATGGTTGTAATTCATCATGATTACAAGATCACCATATCATTTGCATTCAATTTCTGCACTCTGCAGCAGATCTGCATTCAAGAGTCATTGGTTCTTAATTACCTCCAAAGGAAGTACAAACATAATACCAGATAATTATTTATCAGCTTAACTCAAATCCCACACTACTAATTCGAACATAGGTGTTACTTAAATAGAAGTCTTCTGTTTCACAACAAACAAAGGAGAGAGAATACTTTAACTTATAGCACTCTGCAGTTGCTGTCTTTTGACATGTTCAAAGTAAACAAACAAGAAATGACTCAATTATTAACCTTGAACAAATGAACATTAGATGCTGAATGGTAAAGAAAATACCATTTCCGTCAGAGAAAACATACAAACTCAGGATGTTCTGACTATTAACTTGATTACAATGCATAGAGATAAATATAATTACCTGTTCAAGTACAGAATTTACATCCCGACCTCTCTCAACCGTGTCACGTCTGATTCTACGAGCAAGCCTCACATCAGCATCTACAAGAGATAGATTGCCAAATAAGATAGTGAACCATAAGGGCTAGCAAATAAGCACATTGGCCTAGGTAGGGGAGACAGAAAGCAAGATGAAAATGTATGCAACTCAGTAATAGATTAAGATTAATATCCTTTAATATAAAAGGAACAGGGACTCGGGAGAATGAAAAAGAATACAACAGGTTAACAAAGAAATCAATTAAGATAAATCTACCATAAATGCAAGAGGATGACTATGACCGTAAGAAACAAGTGAATGAGGTCAAACCTGTATCAACAAAAATCTTCATATTCATAAGGTTGCGAACACGCTGGTCATGGAAAACCAGAATTCCCTCCAAGATAATAACATCTGATGCATTTACCTGATAATGAATTCATATTAATGTTCTTTCAAAGTTGTAAAAAGGAAGCATACATATAACACAAAAATAAATGTTTTAATTGTTATCAATGCACCAAATAGCAGTGAGAGCAGGCTTTCTGAATTATTACTGAGGAAACTGAACAAACAACACATGACCATGCAAAAAGAAGGGCTTTGTAACAAGGCAGCAGAAAATCCATGAAGAACAGTTTTGATATGTTAGCCAAGTAAAAATAAATAATCAGAAAATGGTAAAAATAGACTTGTGTTGACTTTCAAGTCAGATGCCCAAAGAGGACAATATGCTCCATAAATAGGAGGTGCTCATCAACAAAGCCATATAAAACTTATGCACATAAATTAAGGCATAGAGAGTTCAAAAAGTAGTAAACATGCAAACCTGACGGAAAATATCTGAGCACCGACGATGGTTCTTAAAATCATAGATGGGAACTTGGTAAGATTGCCCATTCTTGAGCTTCTGAATACAATCTAACAACTGCTCGGTGTCAAAAGCATCTAAAGGAGAAAGTTTTCAAACAAATTCACAATCTAGAAAAAAAACCACAGGAAGTAGAGAACAACCAAAACGGACAAACCACAATCCATACCTGGATGATCAAAATTATACTCATGCACACATTTTGATTCTTCAGGAGTTAAACCACGGTAAAAGGAATCCTGCATGTGATTTTGGTCCAGTAAAGCTTCAGAAATAATTAAAATTACACTGAAGTATACAACAAGAAGCATGGAATGCCATGGCAGCAGACCTGATTGACAAGTACAACACGATGATCATGAAGCTGTTGGATGATCATGTCACATACAGTGGTTTTACCAGAAGCTGTACCTCCCGAAACTCCTGCTTGATTACAAATACCAGCCACAA